CCAGCGGCTGGGGCTCTTCAGAATGGAAGTTTGCTTTGCTGGGTCTTGCAAGAGCTCTGGCAGCCGCTGGGCGCAGTGGAGGCTGCTGAGCGAGTGTCCAGCGACGCCTCCTGTCCTGTGTAGCCGCCCGCCCGTGTCCCGAAAGGCCGCTGGTCCGTGATCACGCGCTGCGTCGACCTTAAACCACAGGGCCTGAGGAAAGCTGGAGCTGCGGCTGCGGGCTGGGTTCACCCTCACTGGGGTCCCCAGCCCAGTCCCCTCGGGGCCAGAGACGTTCCTTAACAGGCCAGCGGTCTTCCTGGAAACCAACAGGCTTGTTTTGGGCTCTTCATTTCCAGTGATTCAGATCTCCTGCTTTCGTCAGGTTGTTTCAGGAATTTGAAAAACGGAGGATTTCAGGGTGACCTGCAAGGTCTGTTAGACTGGGATTCCCCAGGGACCCCTGGGTGACAGACTGGTGATTTCAGCGTGACCCGTGGGACCTGCTGGACTTGATCCGTGGGAGGCCCAGGTGATCCGGGCAGTGCCTGCATTCAGCCCTGGGGGGGGGAGTCCCGGCTTCTGCACAGGCTCCCAGCGGGGGTGCGAGGAGGCTGGCCGCCGGCTGCTGGTTTCTTCATACCTGCTGCTGTTGTTGGACAAAAACCGGCCCTGAGCTGCCGGGGACAGGGGCTGAAATCGCTCCTCTCTGGTCTTGTTGGGAGCACCTGGGCCCTGGTGCCCCGCAGCGTCGATTCTTGACTCCTGCTCTCGCTGAGCAGACCTGCTGGGACGAGCCTCCCCCTCCCGGTCTGGAGTTTGTGCCATCCTGCTCATGATTGAGATGCTGCAGTGCTGTATCTGGGGAAGAGATGAGTGTAGTACGTCCACACGCCCGCACGAGAAGAGACGGCCCTAGGGCACGCACTGTGCATCCCACCCACATGGTCGTGGTGATGACCTGCTGCAGCCCACAGTGGTTCCCAGGAGCCCCTCAGCTATAGGGGTTAAAGGGCGGCACCCCCTCCCAGGCCGCTCAGATGGGCATTGCAGGTTGATGCCCAGCGGGGTGCAGGGAAAGAGGGGCTCGGGCAGCCGGCGGACAGCCTCCTCGCACCCCCGCTGGGAGCCTGTGCAGAAGCCGGGACTCCCCCCCCCAGGGCTAGCTGCAGGGACTGCCCGGATCACCTGGGCCTCCCACGGATCCAGTCCAGCAGGTCCCACGGGTCACGCTGAAATCACCAGTCTGTCACCCAGGGGTCCCTGGGGAATCCCAGTCTAACAGACCTTACAGGTCACCCTGAAATCCTCCGTTTCTCAAATTCCTGAAACAACTTGAAGAAAGCAGGAGATCTGAATCACTGGAAATGATCCCACGGATCTCTGTCATCCCCCTTCCCTCTTCCCACATCACCCACCAGCTGCCACCAGCTCCCCCCTCCCCGGGAATCGCGCCCTCTGTGTGCCCTGACCCTAGAACTGGGGACGCCTGCTAGCTGTGTCTTCCAGTCCCACAGATGAGCTGCCGCTTGAAGACGGGCCAGCCCGCCCGGCGAGGTCGTTCAGGAAAGCACACCCTGTGTGTCTCGCTAATGACATGTTCACTAGCTCTTCGCTAGCCGTGGCTCGTTCATACAGCTCCCGAACCCAGCTGGCTCCAGAAAATCCCTCCGCTGGGTCCCAGGATGTGTCGGCATGGGTCGTCGCTACCAGTCGCTCAGGGTAAGAACAGTTTCCAGCTCGGGGTAGAAGTCATCGCGTAGCTAGAGGTAGGGAGCGTTGTTTGTGCTCTAATGCAGTGGTTTCCGAATCTGGTCCTCGTGAAGCACGGTCTGCTGGTTTTCAATCCAGCTGAGCTCTGCGTCTCCCGGTGCTGATTGATGACTTTAATCGATCTGTTGTCTCCTTTAGCCTTCCGTTTACTCCTCTCTTGGGTCAGTCACCCCCCGCCTCAAGCAAGCTGTTTCCAGCTGCTGCAGCACACAGAGCCCTGTGCAGCCGCCCCTCGTCCACCTGCTGGCCCTTATTCCTGACTGAACAGCGCTGGCCAGTTGTATGGGGTACCGGGGGGGGGACTCCATCAGACACGCCCACACAGGAGGGACCCTGTACCAATCCCACATGTCTCTTTGAGAGCTGAAAGCATAGTTTCAAATAGGCCCCAAACAGAACATTTAAATCCGAAGACAGCGTTCCTCCAAGACCAGTGTTGGGACCTGTGTCCTCTGTAAATGTCCAATTAATATTGATGAAATATGAATGAATGAACCTAAAATCATCTAAACAAGAAAAATGCCGTTCTCCTATACAGTTTGACATGAATGTAAGTGTAGCGCGCATTTGGAACTGGAAACTTACCCAGATGACTTGTGAAAAGTGCATTTCTGTGTTGAAGCTGACCGTGTTTTGTACTCGCAATGCATTGTGGTGTCTGATCTCTATTGGCCACCAAAACCGCGTAGAATTTTCCTTCCTCTGCCTGAGGCGTTCGATCCAGGAGAGTTTTGCTGGGGTGCCGATCTCCCTCTCTCCCCTTGCACCCTAGTTCTCTAGTCTCCTTGCGCCATGACCTGGCGTGATGCAGTCCTCATAATCCCTTTGCCTGTGGCTTTCATCTTCAGCACCACGGCACGACTGTCAGGAGGCGCTGAGCTGACAGGTCAGCAAACACTTCGGGCCTCTGGGGAGCAGTATCCTGTGTGGCTACTGGAAAACGGAATTCAGCACCGCAGCCCTGAGCTGAGTTGGAATCTTGTTGAAGTTTGGAGCCACGTCTTCCCGGGAGGGATGGGGAGTTTGGAATGGGATAGAGAGAAAGGGTGGTTGTAAGGGGGGAGACTCCAGGAGAGGAGCACAGTCTGATAGGGTCATTGATCCGAAAATCAGATCCTCACTCAGGATTGAGGAGGAGACTGGGCTTAGCTCGCCGACTTGACTGTGACCAATCGGGCCTCACTGTCGGCTGGGTTGCGGATTGCTGAGCTTGTAGCGTAGTCCGAGCTGCCCTGAGCAGCTTCACTGTCAGCCTGGTTTGTTATTAACTGCGCCGTTAACAAATCACTCTCCCTGAGCTGGGAGAGAGGTCAGCAGCGCAGTGGCTCAGTTAGTCACTGAAATTCCGCATTCTTTCCAAACGCGGATTGCGTCTGGATTGTAAGGTCCTAACCTCAACGGGATCGGGCTCCTCTGTTACAGCGAGATCGGTCTGGGCCACTCTGGGGAGGCCTACCTGCAGTGCTCCTGGAGTAAGGGGGTAGAGGGTGTCACCCACTGGTGCTGTTCGGCCAAAAATATGTTCCCTGCTTCTGTTGCGCCACGCGTATCTGTTCAAATTCTTTTCCCATGATGTCACTCCAGCACCTTTGCACTGCAGGAACAGCACTAGGCGCTCAAATATTTACAGTCTTTCTGGGTCAAGGTGACTTGAGGCCAGGAAGCCTTAGTGCAGTGACTAATGTAAGTGTTTCTCCCTGTCGGGCGTCTGGAATAAGATTTAACTCTTCAGTTCCCGAACTAATCAGTGTTTAAACTGTGTGCTCTGTTTGGGGGATTCCTCTCCTGTTTACTGGATGTTTGATCATCTCAGGACATTGTCACTGACACTGCTGTCCCTCTCCTTTCACACTCCCCCTGAATTCACACACCTGACTGGACCGGAGACACTGCTAGAGACACTGCTGTCCCTCTCCTCTCACACTGCCCCTGAATTCACACAGTGACACACCCCTGACTGGACTGGAGACACTGCTGTCCCTTTCCTCTTGTAGTCTGGGAGTATGTCAGAAAAAACGAATTGTTATTGCTTTGGCAATGCTCTGATTCACCAGTTATGCCAATAAAGCTACTTACATTCCTCTCTTCCACTCCTTCCCTCTCCCAGTCCAGAGTGTCCTGTCTTATCAGAACTCTGAGTTTCCAGGCAGTGATAACAGAGCTCTGCTGGCATTCCTCCTGCCTGTGAGCCTCCCCTCTGCCCCTCCCTCTGCCCAGCTCTTTCTTCTCCTTCCCTGTACTCTCTACATTCCCAGTGGCTTCTCCTCTCGGGTCACACAGTGTAGGTGACAACCAGTGGTCTTTCCCAACAGCACTTTGGTCGGTTTCTGAAACCCTCAGGACGGTGTGCATACGCCCACGTTGCAGCCAAGCTGAAATGAAGGGTTTTAGGAGGCCAGTCCACAGCTGTGAACAGGGTGATGTGGACCAGTCCGGCCTGGTGCAGGGTGGCAAGGCAGCTGGTACTCCAGCAGGGAGACGGCTGTACCTTGATGGGGACTCTTCACAGATGTGTAAGTGGACTCCAGTTAGTAGGCAGTAACATCCAGTCATTCCAATCCCTGTCAGTTCTGTTTAAAAGCCTTTGCCAAGTTAATACCAGTTAAGCTGTCTAATCGGTAAAACAGTTGGGATCGTGATCTGTATTGGCGGGAGGAGACCAAGTCGCATTGAATTGTGCCGCCTCTCATCCCCCCCCCCCCCCCCTCTGGTCAGGAGCGGCCGCTCCAGTGCCCCCCCGCGGGTCGGAGGTGTGTGTGTGTGGGGGAGCTCCATTGTGTGCATGTGGAGCAGAAAATCGCCCCCGCGATGCGCGGAATGCGGCGCCTCTCGGCTGGCAGGGGCCCCCGCGGCCGACGGGCAGATCGCTTCAGGGTTCATTCTTCGAGCGCTTGGCTTCGCCCAGCCCCTCCCCTCCTTTCCTGTCCCTTAATTCCTCTTTCTCCGCGTCGGGAGTCCAGCCCCCCCCACAACCCTGATTTCCGTTCTCTCTCGCCTCCTGGGGGCGCTCTGGTCTCGCCTGCTCTTTGACCCGTCCTCGCGGGGTGCAGCGCGGGTCGGAGCCAGCCCAGAGCCCGGTTCTGTTCTTCAGTTCCTCAGTTCCCGAGACCATTGCTGGGTTTTGCAGCCATTTTCAGAACCGGCCTATAAAAGCCAAGCCTGCTTACAAGGATGTGCAGTGCTTGTTGGCCTGTGTCCTGCTGACCAGGAAGCCCCTCAGCAGGCTGGGGAGAGAGAGACGCAGTGGAAGTGAAAGAGTTAAAGAACGACAGCGTTGGCAACAGTGATGGGGAGACCGGTGGACAAGTGGAGGGGGAGAGCCAGGGAGGTGTCCCTGTGGCTTGACCGGAGACCACCAGCCTTACCACATTTTCCAGGTGCGCTGTTGAGGGTGTGCTCACATGTGGGATCACAGTGGGGTTTGGCAGCAGCTCGTCAGAGCGGAAGACGTAACAGGGGGTGATCAGGTCAGCCCAGTCCATCACTGGGGTACAGCTCCCCTCTATGGCGGTCATGTTTACGACTCGCTGTCTCAGGAAGGCTGGAAGTATCACTAAGGATATCAGTCATACTGCTTTCTCATTTTTCTCCCCCCTTCCCTCTGGGAAGCGTTATAGGAGCATAAAGGCACAAACTTCCAGATTCAGGGACGGTTTCCTCACACAAGCTGTCGGATTACTGAACTCTACCCCCGCCGCTGGCTCACACAGATGTTTATTTCCTGAACTGTATGTTATTTAACGTTGTTGTTGTTGCTACCACTGTTCTGTGTTTACGTTGTTGGTGTTTCCTTAATGTCTTTGTATTGGAGCACACATGCCAATAAGCATTCCATGGCACTTGTGCGTATGACAGTGAACTGGACTGAGTGATGGTGCAGGAGAGAAGCCGTGCCCAGGCCAGTGCATGTCCTGCACTGGCCTGGCGTACATAAGCAGAAACCGCAGGGGGATAGGGGTCCAGACTCCCGCTGCGCTGCAGTGTGATCCGGTCCAGGTTTTGCTCCGAGCTTGCTGTGAGTGAGGTGGGCGTCGGTTGCAGTTGGTCTTCAGAGTGGCGGACGGGAGCTGTCAGTGCCCGTGTTCAAGGATACAGCAGTACAGACCTCATTTTCTGTTTGGCGGCCCGTTCATCTTCGATGGGGTGAAGCTGGGTTTCTTCCTGTGTGTTGTGGCCAGGATTCCCTAGCTGGCTGGGTAGGTGTGCAGGTTGTTATGGAAGGGTAACAGTGCCACCCTGTGGTCTGCCAGGAGCCTTCAAGCTTGCAGTATTTTGCAGGGAGAGGTACACAGCTCCGAGGGGGGCTTGTGACCGTGGCACAGCGGCCTTAAAACAGCTTCAACTAGGCTTGGAATATCTATATCCTCTTAATCCATTTCACCCTTCAGGGCCCTGGGTGAAACGGAGTTTTGACTCGAGGTGTGCAGAAACCACACTATGCCATTGAACCTCGGCTCTTAAAGAGGTAACTGAGCAAATGGTCGTTCGCTGGCACTGGTTCCGCTTGTGTCCCAGAGGGATGGGTAAATCCAGATGGGCTGAGGCCACAGAGTCCCTCTTGTGAAGAGGGGCTGCTGTATCCCAGGCGTTCTAGATGCTGATCGCACAGGGGGGCTGAGCGATCGGGCTTTGCTGCCACCTACAGGCAGTGTGTTGTCAATACAGCCCTAAGCAGAGCAGACCCGTGCGTCTGCGCTTGCACATCCACATCTCTCTGTCGGTGCGGCGTGCCAGCGTCATGTGATCAAGGCACAGGGCTCGGGGCTCTGCATTGCTCCCGCCTTCCTTCCTCACAAACCTGTTCGTCTCGATCCTCCTGATTTCCCAGAATCCTTCCGGAGCGGCGACTGAACCAGATCTTCAGGGTCGCCCGCCTGGGGAGTCGCCGCACAGGCCTGCCTTTGTTTCGTGTGCACCCTCGTTAATGCCCGGCTCTCTCTCTTTCTCCCCTTCTTCACATCCTCCTCTTCTTCCTGGCCGACGCGCAGACAGGATGAGCGGCAGAACCGATCCCGCGGACCGGAAGGCGCCGGTGGATCATGGGGTCCAGATCCGCTTCATCAACGACCTGCACGAGCCCGGGGGCGTGGTCGCGGGCCGGCGGCGGAGTGGCGGGCGAGGAGGCTCCTCCTCTTCCTCGTACGGCGTTGCGGTGCGCGTGCAGGGCATCGCGGGGCAGCCCTACGTGGTGCTGAAGGAGGGCGAGAAAGGGGACTCCTACGGGGTGCAGCTGAAAAGCGGGGCGCCCCAGCCCCC